TTCCATGCAGTAAAGGTTCCGCCAAAAAAACTATTTTGGAGATTTCTACCGCAGGGTGGCTAGTTGAAAAATTTTATTTTTCAATTCAAAATATCCCATGAAGTCCAACAGGGATGAGCAAAGTTTTTCTTGCTCATCCCTGTTGGACATTCACCTTTCACAGGTTATTCGAAAGCAAGAAAAAGATCGATTGAGACTGCCGGCAATAACCCGAAAAGTGATGGAGAAAGTTATGAGCCACCGGTGGCTCAAATTGTCCCACGTGGCCACTCACTTATGAGCCACCGGTGGCTCAGAATGTCGTCAACGTGTTAAGGCTAGCTGCAGAAGCATCCACCAGACACTTTTCTCGAAAATCAATTGGCTTTTCATGCACACAAGTCTTTTTCTCACCCATTTGTTTCTGATTTTCATGTGTGCTGTACTTTCATTGTTCTGACTATACTGCAGCATTACTTTACGAAAAAACCGCAACAGAACGAATTTCGGCCACTGCTTACAGTCGCATACATCAAACGGGGGCTCCTAGAAGCTCCGCGTCAGCTTATCCTCCCACTGTACCATTGACCGCGATGACAGTTTTTTTACAGTTTCGAAGCAATATGTCTCTCCTGAAATACCATTTTTGTCCAGAACACAGTAGGAAGCATAACGCTCAATTTCTGATTTTCCCCGTTTCACGTCAGGAGCACTAAATGCCTCCCCCAACCGTTCTAAAGTAAAGAATTGAGTTATTGAGTTCACTATACACTTAGCTTGCAATACTCACTACTTTGATGTCTAACTTAGATGTATAGTGGCAAGGAATGAAGTGAAGGTAACCTCTTTATCCATTCTTATCAGCTGTTATGATCACCTATCACCTGCTACCAATGTCCCAAAGTCCATATCACTCACCCTTTGGAAGTGAAAAACGTACAAAATCGAGCAAGAATGACGGCGGCAATGTTTTTGTCAGCTTCCTTTCAGTTGCTATCCCTCTCTGCCACCCCTCAGTAATATCCCCGTCACATCTCCCATATCACCTGTTGGAACCAACTTCCCCTGTGTTACTATATGAGCGGGCGTCATGAACTCAGAACACGTTGTGTATTCTAACACTTATTGGATTTCATCAGTACCTCTCATTTCCGTCACCCACCAATAGCGTCCTTCCCCATGTACCATATCATATCCTGGAACCAACGTCACATGTTGGGACCGGCGCTGCCTAAGTTACGACCCTTTCCATTTTAGCGCCCCTTGTCAACTTATATCAGTTGTTATCACTTTCTTTCACCCACCAATAATGTTCCAGTCACACCCACCATAACAGTTATCAATTTGAACTTTCTACGTCTAAAAAAAGTTATGAATTCTCGGTCGAAAACACACGCATACACCAACAGACAAACTTAGCGGATTATATATAGTAGGATATTTTTTTCGGCAACCAGTAGTGCTTACACGGCTATAACAATAAACGATTGTTTGTCATTATTTCTTGATACTGGGACGAATCACTGCTTATTTCAGCGATCTGAGAGAAAACCTAGCCTTCGGAAACCTAAAAAGCTCACACGAATATTAAAGAAAAAAATGAAAATTGAAAGGCAGAAGAACAGTCCGTTTGCGACTACAATCAATAGATATCGAACGATAGGGGCAACATCCTTGGATGATGAATGATGATGATGATAACAGGATGAATCGGAGATGTGAAGTTCCCTTAGTTCACCGACAGTGCCTAGTTGAACGATCTTCAGGTCCGCCATATTGTATTTAGCTCATGAAGGCGTGAAAGCACGTTGATTCGGTACTTGCCAGAAAATTGCAGTTGGGGCCATATGGTGGGGAAAATGACGAAAATGCGAAATCAAACGGCCAAAGACCTGCAAAAAACCTGTGTTCTGCACAGCACGAAAGAGTGTTTTTGGACGAGTTTCCCGCTGCCATCGTGACAACAACCAAATTGATAGTTATGGCTTCGCGGATTATTCATATACCACCGTGTAAAAGAGCTTCATATCAATTGTACTTCACAAATGAAGCGGTAAGAGCACTGGCGTCGATGTGACTAGGCGGTCATTTTTGGGCGGGCGGTTGCGATGGGCGTCTAGGTCGATACAAGCACTTTGGTCAGGTACTATGACGGAACCCTTAGTTGGAAAAGGCGCAACATAGCGCTTGCTAAGGGATACAATATTTGTTCTGCTGAGCGACCCTGCACGCCTTGTCGGGTCATCGTGCCTTCGAGTGTACTGAAATCAGTTGCGATATCGACGCAAGCAAATCAGATCGCATCTAGTACTGCGGAAAATGAAGTCATTCCAGAGAGCTGGTCCCCTAAGACGCCCTAAGGTACCTCTGAAGTCGAAAACGAATGATACCGCGCTCTGGAACCTTCTAGACGGTAGTACTGGTCGAACTTCCGTGCTGTCTTCATCATATTCGTTTGCTTTTTTTTATTTTATGAGGGCTGAGTTCTATTTATATTGTAGAAAAAGTAGTGATTCGTACCAGTACTCAGAAACAATGTTGCAAAACCCTTTGGAAGTTCATAAAGTCAGGGCTTTATTGTAGCCCTGCCACCCCCCTCCCCCCTCCACCTCCTCAGAAGTAGTCGTTGTCGAAGAAAGCAGGTACCGTATGCAATTGACGTGCAACACTACAACAAGGTACAACACATCAAAATTGCAAGTGAAATCTGATGAGATGATGAATAAACCTTCAAAAATTCGTGCCACGAAAAACATTCTGTTAGAATGATTTTACCTCTGCCCGTAGCGAGATTATTTGGGTTTGAGTTCTCCGCTGCTGCATTGGGCGCACTGCTCACTCGGCTGGTACGGTACGAGGCTTGATGCTATGCAAACTTTCATAAGGGGCGTATGGAAGTTCAATTCTTCTACAGTGAACCTGATAACATCACGCGACGAGCCGCCTTTTCACAACCGAAAAGGTCACATTCTGCCACCAGGGAGAACCACAACATGCACAGCGCTGTAAGATCCTCTTTTGGAGCTTGTCACCTCCATAGAATATCGAACACTTTCTTTGTCAGCAGTGGTGGAAGACTCTATTTCCATCCTAATTTACAAATCTAGTCACAAGGCTAGTGTAAACTAAAAATATTCCACAGTTTCTAACTCAGCCCTCATGAAGCAACACCAGTCGGTAGCTTGAGAATGGCAGTACTCCTTGCACCTTCGACAAAGCAGAAGTTCTTTCCAGAGATGAAGCTCTTTTTTGGAATGCTGTTCTTTCAAGACATGAAGTCTTCTTTGGACTGCTTTCTCATGTGTTTTAGCGGTACAACACAAAGTCTAATACATTGGCCCTGTGCGCCTCTGGGATTACCAGGAGGGGACTGAAATAGTATTCCAAAAAAGGGCAGTCTAAACTGCGTTGCTTCATTGCGAGCCACTTGCATTAGAAATTGCTTTTAATGTTTAATGTTTCACTTGACTAACTGAAGATGGCAACTTGGAAACGCTTTTCTTTCGGCCCCACTAGGCATCTGCCGACCCCGCTCGGCCTCTG